AAAGCCAAATGGGGCACAAATTTAATCACTGCTGAACAAGTTTAAGCTATGATAGTCAATGTTGTCAAGAGCCAGCTTAGAGGGGGAGGTTCATATAATAGCCGACGTTATGTGAAGCCTTACACCAGGAGGATAGATGAGCTGAAAATGTCGTTTGGATACCAACCTCCAAAATTTCAACTCTTTGATGGAAAGGGTAACCCAAAACAACATGTTGCACACTTCATAGAGACGTGCAGCAATGGTGGTACCAAGGGTGACTTGCTTGCTAAAAAATTTGTTCGTTCTCTTAAGGGAACCGCTTTTGACTGGTACACCAACTTAGAGGCTGAGTCCATTGACAGTTGGGATCAAATGGAAATGGAGTTTTTGGGGCGATTCTTCAGCACTGAGCGTGTCGTTAGCATGACTGAGCTAACTTAAACTATGCAGTGGGATGAAGAGCCAGTCATTGATTACATCAACCGCTGGCGCGCTCTAAGTTTGGAATGTAAGGATCGACTCACTGAAACTTCTGCCATAGAAATGTGCATTAATGAGATGAGTTGGGAACTACATTACATCCTAAAGGGTATCAAACCAAGATCTTTTCAAGAGTTGGCGACGAGAGCTCATGACATGGAACTCTCAATCACCTACAACAGGAAGAAAAAGGGGCTTGCTTCAGAAGCCAGGAAAGAAAAAAAGGAGTATTATAAAAATGACAAGTCCTCCAAAAGTTCAACTAAGGAGACGTTGTCTGTGACTACTTCTTCTGCACCCATCAAAATTTCAAGGAAGAAGAAAGAAGAAAGTAAGGGTTCATCTTCGAGATTTGTCAAGAAAGATAAACCCACTTTGAAAGAGCTTCAAGCTAAGAAGTACCCTTTCCCAGATTCTAACTTGTCTGGCATGTTAGACAAATTGCTGGAAAACAAAATCATCGAGTTGCCTGAGTCAAAGCGCCCTAAGCAGATGAACAAGACATCCGATCCCAATTATTGTCTATATCATAGGTTGATTAGTCATCCTATTGAAAAGTGTATAACACTTAAGGAGAAAATTATGTAATTGGCAAAGGATGGGACAATCGAGCTAGATGTCGACGAGCCAGTTACATCAAATCATGCCTCGATAGCTACTGAACCATCATTTCAGGCTCAAACTTTGCAATTTGGTAGTTTGGAGCCTGTGATCATACTTGTTGAGAGTCAACCTATTCAACACGAAGTCTCATCTCAGGTTAAACACCAAACACATGTTAACTCCCGAGATGAAGATGATGACAAAGGGTGGACATTGGTGACAAGGAGAAGGCCAAGGAAACAAGTGCATAATCCTAAACCACAACCTTTTCATCGCAAAAGAAAGCAACAAAAGAAGAGGAAATCCATGCATTCAAAGGGTAAAAAGAAAGCAAAAAAGGCCAGCAAGCAAAAGGTCCTCCCTATTGATTTGCTTGAGCAAGAGACGTTGTCTCCTGTAACTTTGGAGGAATATTTCCCGGAAAACTACTATACTGTGGTTACGGCGAATATGGTTTCCTTTGTGGAAAGTGAGGAGGAACAAGTTGATGATGATACATCAACAAAATCAGTTGTACAACAATCCGAGGTGATAGTAAATCAAAAAATATCTACTGTCTTGGATGCTCTTTCTTCGCGCATGGGATGGAGGCAAATTTTTCATTTGCCTAAAGAAATGTGTCAACAGTTATCTCTTTCACTTTAACGCCCAGAGTTGTATGCCGATAAGGTGAAAAATGCTGGAGAACCTGCGGAAGATGCCACGAAATGTGTGTCGTGCAACGCAGCCTTGGCGTTCACAGATGATGATTTGTTGATGGAGTCAAAACCCCACAATAGACCCTTGTTTGTGTTAGGGTACATCCGTGAACAAAAAGTGAGTCGCATTTTAATTGATGGTGGATTTGTTGTCAACATCATGCCAAAATCCACTATGATAGAGTTAGGAATCAAGATGGATGAACTCTCTAGCAGTCGCATAGTGATCCAAGGATTTAACCTTGAAAGTCAGCGTGCAATAGGCATAATACGCCTAGAACTCACAATGGGAGAGTTAACGTCATCAACTCTCTTTCATGTGATTGACACAAAGACATCATACAAAATGTTTCTAGGACGCCCTTGGTTGCATGAGAATGGTGTGATAGCATCGACCCTCCATCAATGTCTCAAGTACTATCGTGGAGGCGAAAAGAAAATAAATGGGGATGTCAAACCCTTTAGCAAAGCAGATTCTTACTTTGCTGACGCCAAGTTTTTTGAAGAAGAAGAGGCGTCAAGTGAGATACTACCTTCCCAAGTCCTTTCAACAGGAAAAAGAGAAGTTAAAGAAAGCACTGCTTTGGTTTCAAATGACAAAAAGACATCTCCTGTCGAGGAGAAGTCTCAACAAAAGGTAGAAGTGGACGAAAAGAGTGTCTCTCAGCTCGTCATAAAAGAAAAGCCAAAGTTATCAACTCCTATTTTGCGATACATCCCAAAATCACGTCGCAAGGAGGGAGAATCACCTTTTGTGTGTCGAGAGGTTAACCTTGATGCTAAGGTAGCAAAGCCAATTGATGACACTACTCTTCAAAACTTGAAGGGTAAAACAACTGTACCATTGGGTAAAGGCGCGCAAAGCCCAATTTCTAAGTTATCAACAGAGTCATCTAAGGCAAAGGAGCTTAACAAAGCAAAATTCGGCCAAAATGCATACAAGCTATTGGCAAAGGCAGGATATGACTTTGAAAACCCAACACCCATGGGTAAGGTCATAGACATTAAAACCAACGGACTCAATGATACTCAGAAGAAACTGCTTGACTATGGCTCTAGTTATCAAGAATCCAAGGCAGGCCTAGGGTTTCAGCGCCCCAAACCAATCAAAATTGGTGTATGGCGTAAATTAGACGCTTCTTCCTCACAGTACATTACTGCCAAAGAACTCAAGGAAGGTGAAGGTGAGAGCGATGTTCCCACACCCAGAACTTTTGTATTTGATCGACTTCAACCATCTACTATGAGGAATCATGTCTCAGTGTTCGATAGGCTTGGAGAATGTGACCATAGGGTGAAAGAAACTTCAAGTTCGCAACCCTTAAGACAAAAAGTATTTGTATTTAACCGCGTAGGCATGACAAATGCCTTTAGCAAAGAACAAAGACAGTCAGCTTTTAGTCGCATAAAGAAAAGGGAAGACAATGTCATAAAAAATGATGAGTCAAAAAGTGTTGTTCCCTCTCGCATGAAAAGAAAGCAAGACATAGATATCACTGAGAAACAACCTTTAAAGGCAAGAGTTCGCACCGTGGTTTTCACTAACCAAAATGAGTCGTCAGACCATGCTATAGAGGAACATAAGGAGATTGTTTCCACGAACCATGTGACGGCTGAAGAGGTGCCAAATCCCGACGAGGAAATAGAAACTGATGAAGCTCCCAAGACACTTGAAGACGGGGGGAAAGCAACAGTAGATGAGTTAAAAGAGTTAAACCTTGGCACTCTTGAAGACCCACGCCCTATATACATTAGTGCTCTTCTTACCCAAGCGGAAGAACAAGAGTACTTCAAATTACTCTCTGAGTACAAAGATGTCTTTGCATGGAGTTACAAAGAAATGCCAGGTCTTAACCCGAAAGTCGTCGTCCATCGATTAGCAATAAAAAAGGAGTGTGAGTCCAAAGAAGCAATCACAGAGGCGATTCAGGCCAGAGTTGATCCCGGAAATTGAATTTGAGGTAAACAAACTCATCGATGCAGGGTTCATTCGTGAAGTCAAATACCCTACATGGATGGAAAACATTTTCCCTGTGAGGAAGAAAAATGGGCAACTACGAGTTTGTGTGGACTTCCGAGTTGAATGAAGCATGTCCCAAGGATGACTTCCCACTTCCAGTCACGGAAATCATGATCGATTCCACCACTGGACATGAAGAATTGTCATTCATGGATTGCACAGCTGGATACAATTAAATTCACATGGCGCCTGAAGATCAAGAAGCCACGACATTTCGCACCCCAAAAGGGATATTTTGCTACAAAGTTATGTTGTTCGTTTTAAAAAATGACAGGGTCACGTAACAGCGTAAAATGAAAAAGATCTTTGAAGATATGATGCACAAAATTGTGGAGTGCTACGTGGACGATTTAGTGGTTAAGTCTAAAAAGAGGGAGGATCACCTAGGTGACCTTCTCAAAATCTTTGAAAGACTACGCAAATGTCAATTGAAGATGAATCCTCTCAAATGTGCGTTCGGTGTTACCTCAGGAAAATTTTTAGGTTTTATCGTAAAACATAGGGGAATTGAAATTGATCAAACCAAAATTAAGGCAATTCAAGAAATGCCTGTACCACGAAATCTCAAAGAACAACGCGGTCTCCAAGGGCGCCTTGCATATATTCGGAGGTTCATCTCCAATCTTGCAGGCAGATGTCAACCATTTAGTCATCTCATGAAAAAGGATGCTCCATTCAAATGGGATGAGTCATGTCAAAAAGCGTTCAACAATATAAAGAATTATTTGTCCTCTCCGCCGGTTTTGGGGGCGCCAGTTAAAGGAAAACCTCTAATCCTTTACATTGTTGCTCAAGAAAGATCATTGGGGGCAATGTGTGTTCAAGAAATTGAAGATCGCAAGGAGATAGCTCTTTATTACTTGAGTCGAACGTTGGTGGGTGTTGAGTTGAATTATTCACCAATTGAAAAAAATTATCTTGCATTAGTTTTTGCGATTCAAAAGTTGAAGCATTACATGCACGCTTATACAGTCCATGTCGTCTCAAAAGTCGATCCAATCAAGTACATCCTCTCGAGACCGTTGTTATCAGGAAGACTAGCTAAATGGGCTGTACACATCAAACAGTACGATATAATGTTCGTACCACAAAAGTCTGTTAAAGGACAAGCCATCGATGACTTCTTTGCCGACCACCCAGTACCACCTGAATGGGAGATGTCCGTTGATTTGCCTGGAGAAGATGTGTTTAACATCGAAATACTACCACCATGAGAAATGTATTTTGATGGGGCTGCTCGTCAAGACGGCGCAGGTGCAGGGGTAGTCTTTGTGTCGCCAGAAAAGCACGTTTTACCTTACTCATTTGTGCTAAATCAGTTGTGCTCAAACAACATGGCTGAGTACCAAGCTCTTATTATGGGTCTTCAAATGGCGGTTGAAATGGGAATTCAAGATCTTGATGTTTATGGAGATTCACAACTCGTTATAAGTCAACTTTTAGGCGAATATGAAGTCAAGAAAGAGGATTTAATTCCTTATCACAAACATGCATCAAGATTGCTCGACAAGTTTGACATTGTCAAGCTAAGCCATGTTCCAAGGAGTGCCAACAAGATGGCTGACGCCCTTGCTGGTCTTGCAGCCACTTTGGCATTGGTGGCAGAGGAAACCATGTTTATGCCTGTTTGCAATCGTTGGGTAGTTGCACCTGAAGAATATGAAGTTGAAGATGACGAGATCGAGGAGGTTGACATGATCACTGTCTGCCAAATTGACAAAGAAGACTGGCGTCAACCAATCATCGACTATTTGGATCACCAAAAGCTGCCTAATGATCCACGACATCGAACAGAATTCCGCCGTCGAGCCTCTCGTTTTGTTCTCTTCAAAGGGACTCTTTATAGACGATCTTTTGACAAGCTATGGTCGAGATGTCTAGAAGATGAAGAGGCAGCCAATACAATAGAGGAATTCCATTCAGGGATTTGTGGAGCTCTTCAATCTAGTCCTAAGCTTCATGATTGTATCAAAAGGGCGGGATATTATTGGCCTTCAATGGTACAAGATTGCATGGAGTTCGTTAAAAAGTGTGAAGCATGTCAATTTCATGCAAACTTCATTCACCAACCTCCAGAACCACTACATCCAACTGTGACATCATGGCCATTCGAAGGATGGGGTCTTGACGTGGTTGGTCCGATCTCACCAAAGTCATCTGGTGGTCACGCTTATATACTGGCTGCCACTGGTCACTTTTCTAAGTGGGCTGAAGCTATTCCCCTTCGTGAGGTGAAAAAAGAAAATGTTGTCGATTTCATTCGCACCCATATCATTTATAGGTATGGAATTACTCAAAGAATTGTCACTGACAATGGAAAACCATTCGTCAACAACTTGATGGATAGCCTTTGCCAAAATTTCAAGTTCACACAACATAAGTCATCCATGTACAATGCTCCTACAAATGGTCTAGCTGAAGCATTAACAAAACGCTTTATAATTTGCTAAGCAAGGTCGTTCCAAAGCCTAAGCGTGACTGGCATGAAAAGATAGGGGAAGCACTTTAGGCATATAGGACGACATACAAGAATGCAACACAATCTACCCCATATTCGTTGGTGTATGGTGTTGAGGTTGTCCTACCCTTGGAAGTTCAAATTCCATCACTAAGAATTGCCATTTAAGAGGATTTAACTAGTGATGAAAATGACAAGCTTCGATTGGCTGAGCTTGAAGCACTTGATGAGAAAAGATTACAAGCTCAACAGAAATTGCAATGCTATCAAGCTCGCATGACACGTGCATTTAGAAAAAAGGTTCGACCTCGTTCTTTTCAAGTGGGAGACATGGTCCTGGCAGTGAGAAGGCCTATCATTACTTCGCACAAAACTAGAAATAAGTTCACATCAAAATGGGATGGTCCTTATGTGGTACGAGAAGTCTACACTAATGGAGCATACAAAATTGTTGATGATGAGGGATTGCGCGTAGGTCCAATTAATGGCAAGTTTTTAAAGCGCTACTATTCATGAAGTGAAAGCCTTGTAAACTCCTAAGTAAGAGGATAAACTGCTTACCAAAAAAAAAGTATTGTTTGAACTACGTTGGCTTGATCTTGCAAGATAACCCGTTTATTTAGCAAGTACATAGGCAGCTTGAAAAAAAAATCAAGTGCAGCCACATCAAAAAAAAAAATCATCATCATTGTACTACTCCTGGCCCGCAAGAGTATAAACTGTGTACGGCTGAAAAAAAAATCCATACTCCTGGCCCGCAAGAGTATAAACAGTGTACGACGAAATAATAATATCAAGAGAAAAATAAAATTAAAAAAAAATCAAAAAAAGTAGTGTTTGTTAACTGCTAAACCATAAAAAAAAAAAAAAAAAAAAAAAAAAAAAAAAAAAAAAGAGGGGTAGCCTATTCTCAATCCATCTGATCCACTCGGAAGGTTTGAGCATTGACTGAAGCTCTTGAAGTTGGACTTTCTGTTGCTCCAATTGGACTATCTCATCAGCACTCAGAATAGGAGTTGCACATAAGTCGTCCAAAATCTGCTTCGCAACGTTCATTTGTTCTTAAATTGATGCGATAGATCCTTTGCTAGCCACTAAGTCATCTATTAGACGATTCTTCTCTTCGTAAGCTTTCGTCAATTCAGCTTCAAGAACTTCTACTCTTTTTGTGACTAAGGCATCTTGTTCCATCAATTGCTCTTGCCTTTTTTCTGCTCATTAGCAAGGTTGAACTCCGCTTGCTTGAGAAACTCAAATTGAGCAAGTATGTCTCTTGTTACTTGTTTATATCTTTGTCGTTTCGCTGCAGCCTCCTCCAAAGCAAGGTAGGATTTGACTGAACAAACATAATACTCAACTTTACGCTTCAGCCGAGCCGGGTCACCCTTGAGGTTTTTTATACCTCGATACACCATGGAAGCTTCTTCAAACCTTTTTGGTACCTCCGAATAAGGTGACGCTTACAACATTGCCAAGTATTGAGCGCCTATGTGTTTTATTGCATCTGCAAAAATATTACTAGAGAAGGGGCCTGGTCAAAACGTGTTTGCAGACATAGTAGGAGCGCAAACACGCTGAGATGAAGTTGTACAGTCATCACCAACTGACTGTTGAACCTCTAAAGCGTGGGAGGCAAGCTCAAGAGAATGAGGACTATCTACTGACTTTAGGCTTTGAGTAGGAGACTGTATTTCCTTCCTTGGTAAACTGGGATAATTGTCACAAACTTTATTCGTGGCGATCCTTATTGCTTTCCCCTTGCCAGTAGTTGGTCTCGGTATAGGTAAAATAGCTTCAACCTCTAAGAATTCAGCGGCGACACTCTCGAAGTCTTGATCATCCTAAAAAAAAAAAAGGTGTCGAAAACTTACAAGTGGTATGTTAGTAGGAACAATAGGAAAATCTCGAAGATCGCCAAAGGAGTCCGCATCGTTTAAAATGTTGTCCTCTTCATCAACAACGTCTGATAGCCTCTTACTCCTACGTTTATGCTTGTAGTTGACGTCAGATTCTCCGTCACTAGAGCTTCCTCCTTGGCTGACATCTCTAGCTGTCATCGATTTAGAGTTGCCTTGTCTGGACAGAGGCTCATGACTCCTTTTACCACCAGCATTGGTCTTCGGTCGAGAAGCACTTGTGTCACCAGCATGTTCCTGGCTCTTCCTAGACTTGTTGGGATCAGTTTCAATACTTGCACAAAGAATGTCAACCTTCTCTCTAAGGTCATTAACTGTCACTTTAGACCACCAAGACCGAAAAGCCCGAGTTACAAGGTCACGCCAATTTAGGGAAAGACAAGGAGTCAACACCCGGGATTGACTGCCATAAAACAAAATCAAGTCCCAATACCGAAGAGCTTCATAATAGCGTACAGATTGACGATCATCTATGGCACGCGTAAGCATACCAGGAACATCTTGACAAAACCCAAATTGCCTACCAAATCGATGAGGATTGTAAGGCTCTATGAAAAATTTGTCACCGGAGCGTACAAGAATGTAGCTAGAGCGAAGGGAGATGAGGTAGCCAAATTGTGGAATCTCGAGCTTCCCATCATCAAACAAAGCGATGTTCTTGTTCTTATTTGGCACGATACACCCAACCCTCGTTGTGGTCCCTTCATGTATCAGATCTCGTGCTTTTTTATCCCTAAAATGCTTTGAACTTTGAGAACCCGAGAATATAGTCATTAAAGAGCCTGGGAGAGCTAAATCAAGATTGTGATGAGTTCCAAAATAGTATGCGAGCTAACTATACAAGTAATGAGCCGGGAAGAATGAACCAGAATAAGAAGGTTTGGGAGACCTCGAAATGTTGTTCAGGCCATGATAAATGCTTCCCAGGCCAGGAACTGCCAAGCTGAACGGTTTACCACAAGCCATCAAGGTTGCGATCTCAAGCGTCTCGGGTCTTATCGATCTACTATCACACTGTGGAAGTACAAATGCGCATAACCAACAAGACAAGAAAGAAGCAGTATAGGCTATTCCCCTTCTATTGTTGTCGGGAAGGCCTAAATGCTGAAATATGGATAATTCTTCATTTGTCCACGCTGTAGGTACGTCTGATAACGTTCTATCAGGGTCTTGTGTAGATTGTGGAGGAGTCGAGAGATATATGTCCTCTTTGGCGGTGCAGCATAGCAAATTTTCTTCTGGTACCAAAATCTAATCCATTCTTTGGATGGAACCTCCTTCCTTGAGCCCGATTCTTTGTAAAGGCAATGTTAAGCAACAAACAAATGCTCACAAGCCTTCAAAATGTACCGTTTTTTTGTCCTCATTTGTTGTTGTTAGGGTCGCAAAATGAGGGACAATCTCATCATAAATTTCCCCATAAATGGGTAAGCCACCAAGTCTGTGCAAATCCCACAGTGAAATGGACCACTCTCATGCCATTGTATGGAGTGTGTTTTTGGTAGGGCACCAACTCTCACACAATGCTCGTAAAATATGCGGATTTTTATCATAGGAGTAAAGTGAGGCATAAACAGCATTGTAGATTGATGCTGATTTCAGATTTTCCCTCGAGCGACAGAGAACGTCCTCAGTCCACTCTCGATAGCTTAGGATGAAGCATGATTCACCATACATCTTTAGAACAGCAGATCCCCATATCACGGACCCTTCAATAATGGAACGACCCAATAAGGGAAGTAAGTTCTTTGTTGCAGGTCTACTCTGAAGGGTGTCTTGGAGCTTGTAAGCCTTTATGGTGTCGGAGACATTAGCAATCTCAACACATGTCACTGCGGAAATTTTGCTTACAAATACTTGATTGCATGCCATTAGGCCGCCGCAATGATTGTCGAATTTGTAGACGCGTGTCAGTCTTGGGGTTGTCACCCTCTTGGTCGACGAGAGAAAGATAGGATTGAGAACCTTCATTGAATTCCACTACGTGCACCTTGTCCATGATCAAAGACTTAAAAAAAAATAAAAAAAAACGTTAGAGTGTTTGACATGGCACATGTATAATGAGTATGTCATAAAGGCAATCTCGTATTGGAATTTCGAGTAGGTCAGTCTTAAGATGACAAGTTCATAACGATTGACATACATGACTTGACATCTCCGATGGGTTCATAACAAAGGGTCCTGACCCATCGCAACATGGGCGACTCAAATCTTCAAGTTATCAGACCTGTCTTAAAGACGTCAAGATCATAACGACTGGCATACATGACTTGATGCCTCCGATGAGTTCATAACAAAGGGTCCTGACTCATCGCAACAAGGGCGACTTCAAACATTCAAGTTATCAGACCTGTCTTAAAGACGTCAAGATCATAACGACTGATATACATGATTTGACGTCTCCGATGAGTTCATAACAAAGGGTCCTGACTCATCGTGATATGGGCGACTTCAAATCTTCAAGTTATCCGGCCAGTCTTAAGATGTCAAGTTCATAACGATTAGCATACATGAATTGACATCCCCGATGGGTTCATAACAAAGAGTCCTGACCCATTGCGACATGGGCGGCAACGTATGGCTACCTTGTAAATCTGTCATATGTACAAACGCTACAAAGAACACACACGCACACACACACGCACACACATATGATATGTACGTGCAATGCCATGTAAATCATAAAATAAAGTGGACAAGGTAAACATAAGTATCTGAGTACTCTGAAATGTTGAATGACAATTGCTACACTAGGATAATCGGATCAAATTGCAACAAGTCATCTAGTATTTAGTGGCAGAGTATAATTAGTATAACAAGAAGTCAAAATTGATGATCTTCGATCTCAATACACAAAAAAAAGGCACTTCAACATGACCAAAAAATATTGCTTGGAGTTTCAACAGCATCGCAATACGAGACAAAATTGCAATTACAAGTTTAAAAAAAATAAAAAAGGTAAGCAAACAAACTTACGTGAGTATGATTGGTTTCTTGAACAATTCTTGAAAACCCAATTACTCCGAAGTCCGGAAACTTCAAATCCTTGTGCTTTTATTGCTGCAAGTTCATGGAGTATTAATCATGGTTGAATCATGATGCATGAGAATTGATTAATTACAATAATAAAAAGGTGAAGTTAGGTATTAATTACCTATTGTTGTTCACGATAAATTTGCTGCGACAATACTCCAAATTCGATTGATATTCAATTACGAGAATGTCAATGAAGATTTCTTAAAGACTGCAAACAAATTCGAAAGTCGCAATAAGTGAGTAATGGTTAAATAATATTAGCATGAATTAACTTGGCAAAGGAAGTTCAGGTGCGGTGATGTTTACCGTTGCGGTTGCAAGTTCAAGAAGAACAAATAACAAGCGGTTGCAGGGGAAATCAGCTATCTTGTTCGTCTACTTGGATGAAGAAATAAAAGGGCTAGATTCCTTATTTATAAGTTACGGTGGACAACAATCTCGAGGAAGATCAAAACCTAGTATAAATAGGAGTTTAACCTTGGGGCTCAAGAATTCCCATAAACCAAACCTAGTACTTAAAAAAAAAAAAAAAAAAAAAAAGTACTAGTGACTTCCAAGTCAAATAAAAAGGTCGAGACCTTGTCACGCCAAACACTTCAAATTGTGTGTGTGACTTAGTTTAAGGGGGCAATTTGTATACACAGAAATTTTATGAGTGTCATACATTAAACTAAATAAATTAATTTGGGTTTAAATCATATGAATGATCCATTTTAATTAATTTGGCCCACCTAAATAAATAATCTGAATTAATTAAATATAATTCGGGTCATAAAATAAATCAAATGGACTAGGTTAAAAGACTTCTAAGTCATAAAATGGGTCAGGCCCAAACCTACTAAGTCCATTCAAGGGGTTCTCATCTCCTACAAATACACCATTCCTCCATCAGTTGAGGGGATCCAGAAATCATTATTCCAAGAGCTCATAAAAATCAAACGGAATTCTCTCTGAAGTAAGTCAACAAACATATCAAACTTGTGCCGACTTGTTAAGATACACTCAAACACATTTTAACGAGACTAAGCTTCAAAGCACTCGTTCAGGTGTATTCAAACAAAACCCTTGAATACAGGTTGACATCATCAAACGTCACCCTGCATTCAAACTCAAGTCGACGTCATCAAACGTTAATAGGTGTCACATACGTGTCATTGTCAAGCTGCGGAACAGAATCAGAGGACTTAGTTTATTTTATTATAAACTTTTATACAGAGATTGTACCCAAAATTCATATATTAATATAAATTCATTTGTTACTTTATTTCCCGTCTTTATTTATTTAGACTCGAAATTTGTACCCAAAAATCAAGTACGTAGGCACGCTCAGTGGGACAATTTTCGCTCTTCATCTCCAATCTTCAAGTCTCAAAACTCGTAGAATTAATGAGGGCATACCAAATTTGCTTTCAAATTCTACAAGAAAATTTCGGACCAAGTTGAATCCGATATCAAATCTCCACAACAGGTCTCGAGGGGGCATTTGTTGACACCGAAATTTTTTTAATTATTAGGTGTTAGATATAGGTAAATAAGTAGATAATATCAAAAATTATAAGATATTTATCTTCAGAATATCATAGATTATTATCTTTTACTCTATGACACTCTATATAACGAGGATCGTTTATAGGGTTTAAGGAGGCTCAGATGGAACAAGTCACAAAGACCCCATCTCCTCCCTACTACCAAACATTGTAGGTATAAAGTATGGATTAAGCCGACAAGTCCCCGTACTACAAACAAATATCAAAATCGTAGCCCTTTAGAGGGAGGAATCAAGAGATATACGAGAGTTGTAACCCACAAGTTATTAATAAAAATAATTGTTCCCGTATTTTTTCTACCTCTTTAATTTAAATATTGCAGGTTTGAATTTTATGGTTTACAGTCGTCCCCAGCACCGTTCCCTTTGCCCCCTTTTCTCGTTCCGACAAACTTGATCGAATCGCCGATTGGACTCGCAACCTCTAACCCCTCCAATTGTCGCAACAATGCTAATGACTCCGTCTTTGATTCACCGGTGATGAATCCTTCGCCTCCATACTTGCCGCCGATGAAGACTCCGTCCTCCTGCCTTGTCGCCCTAAATTCGGCACTAAATGGCGCTTCCATCACCACCTTAATATATTAACAACCCATCTCGCCCTAAATGGCGCTTCCACCACCACCATAACAACCCATCTTGCCATCTCCCTTAACGCCGCTACGAATAAGTCGAAGTTTGTAAACGTGATGCTGAAAAAAACATGCTCACCGCGATCAGCTTTACCATAACAACCATCTTATTGGTGATGGACAACATCAACGCCGCGAAACCGCCGTGTTCAAATCACCGGTTGAAATGTAGAACAATGAATAAAAAATTTATTTTATTTTTAAATTAATTTTGATTTTCTAAAGTTAATTAAGAAATTAAATTAAATCGTGCCACATAATAAAATTTGTGGTAGTCGCTTTTCAAAAGACTGTTGTAAAATCATCCGAAAAAAATTACATTTATTCATGAACATGATGCTATTTGATTAGAGGTGGTTAATAAGTCAAGTCGAGCATGAACCAGATCAATAAATGCACATACGTAGGGTTTTTTTTTTGGAAAAAAAAAATAAATAAAAATAATCTATTTTGTAAAATTGTGTCTAATTACAATTTTATTTTTTATTTTTTTTTTGTAAACCATAACACCATGTATCACCATGTATCCATGTGATATGGTAAAGACTTGGGATATATGTTGAAGAAATTTTAGAATAAAATTTTGAACTTTATAATTTTTTTATACATTCACGTTGTTTCGCAACAGAGGTTCTTTATGAGAAGCTGAATCTTCTTCTTCAGAGCTATATGCCAATCTACTTTCAACAACTTCTTTTTCGGACTCCTCTTCTGCTTTTCCCTTCATCACCGTGTAAAATCCAATTGCTATAACTGTGCCTCCAATCAAACTACATACACCAATTAAGCATTACTTTTATTATTTATTCCGTAATTAAGTTCAGTAAACAAACGAATTTGTAAAACAAAAAATAATTAAATATAATTTAAAAAAAAGGAAATTTAAAAGTGTTATAATCTCATGGTTAATTGTGAGGTACTTCCCCACTATTTTACCACTAGACCATATACTATTTGGCATTATATTTTGATAGGTTAACAAAATAACAACTAAAGTACGTTGTAATTAGGGTCTGTTCACTTTAGCAGTTCAGCTTAATTTCCGTTCAGTTCAGTTCAGCTCAGCTTTTAATTTCCTTCTCTCATAATATATTCATTTCAGCTCTATTCAGTTCTGTTCAGCTCCAATCAGTTCAGTTCAGTTCAGCTCAGTTTAGTATATGTGAACAAACCCTTAATTGAATTAATTTGTTTAAGCAAATGAATTTACTTTAATTTGTTCCTAATTAAATTATGGAGTATTTTTTTTAATACTTGATGATAAGTAATAATGTGTTTTAATTTAATTGACCTGATCTAATATTTATTTGCTTGAGCTCAATTGAACTTACTTAGTACTTATGTCCTGAGAGAGTTCTTTCGATTTGGCTTTATGTCACAGTTTTAGTTGTTGACAACATTAATGAGGAAGAAAAAATAATCAAATATTTTTAGGGTACAAATTTTCATACATTATTCTTAAGATTTAATAAAGAAAAGACATAATTAACATAAATAAGGGCAATAAACATTTTAGAGGGTATAATTATCCAAACACTTATCATAAAAGTATTATTATTATTATCTCAAACTTCTCTAATCAATTCTTAATCATGATAACTTCTAATCAATTCTTTAATGACAAACTTTAAATTTGATTCAATATTACTAAGAGATATAAATAAAATTATTTGAGAATAGAATAAAATTAGTACCTTCCAAGATGGAGAATGTCTCCAAGAAAAGATACTCCCATAACCACTGCAATTATCATTTGAAGTGGCTTAAACATTGCCACAAATAAGGGCCCCTTCTTTCCACAAGCCCAAGTCTGGACAGTATTTACCACACCAACTTCCAAAGCCTGGTAAAACAATATTAAATAAATAAAAAGTTAATGTCGACTACTCCGTAATAACAAGTAAGAAATTATCCGCGGTAGAAATTATACTACCTCTATTTCGTATTAGTTGCAATTTTGGAATATTCTATATCTCACAAATAATATCCCAAAGTTGCAACTAATAAGAAACGGAGGTAGTATTTTCTCTATTCGAAATTAATCGTGTAAAAGATTATATGTAGTCGACTTTATTTTGATGGTAAGAGTATTAAACTTTGATTATAGAAGTCAAATACAAGTAAATACTACTCTGAATAACTTACCCCGAATAAAATAGCAATCCACACGATGCTAATACTCGGGGTCCAAACACTTGTATCATCTTCAGCTAGAAAGGTAACAATTGCTGCTACGATTGTTTCGAAGAAGAAGCTAATCATTGTTATAAGTATCTCTGAGTGGAAGTCCCTTGCTATCCAAGTCTATTGATCAAAACAATATTATACACCATAATATTGCAATTATAATAATGAATAAAACTCAAGAATTGTGTTGGAAAAATGTAGAGAATGGAAAATTGCCTAGTTAGTTTACTTAGTTAGTTAGTGTAGGATGGATTAAACATAGGGCTTGTTCACTTCAGCTTCAGTTCAGTTATGTTCAGTTCCGTTCGGCTCCAATCAGTTCAATTCAATACAGTTCAGCTCCTAATTTCCTTCTCCTGTAAAATATTAATTTCAGCTATATCCAGTTCGATTCAACTTCAATCAGTTCTGTTCAGCTTCAATCAGTTCAATTCAGTACGTAAATGTGAACAAGCCCATAGTCTTGTCGATAACTATTGAATAAAAATCATTCCATGTATCGAGTTCGTTTCAATAGAACAAACTCAACAACATTCGTAAGTATGTGACTAATATATATATATATATATATATATATATATATATATATATATATATTAGTCACATACTTACGAATGTTGTTGAGTTTGTTCTATTGAAACGAACTCGATACATGGAATGATTTTTATTCAATAGTTATCGACAAGACTATGGGCTTATTCACATTTATTGTAAAACACATTTTTTAAGATCCCACATTGAAAAATTCATAAGTATGTGACTGATATATATATACTCAGACTTGTGTATGATCAATATAGAGTAAAGGTAAAATATAGTCCCTCAACTCTTGTATTTGTGCACTTTTAGTTCCTCTCAACTATTTTGTGCACTATTAGTCCATCAGCCACCATATTTGGTGTTTGTCAGCCCAAAGTTGATGGGCTTAGCCTAGTCACCAATAATTTAGAGACCATGACTCATTATATTATTTTATTTTTTTATTTTTTTTTATGTCAGGATTTTATTTAACACCCCTATTAATAACAATAAATAAATAAAAACAAAAAGAAAAATTCCTTTATTTTTTCTTTAACTAAAAAAACCCTCTATTCTTATTTAAAAATTATAAAAAAAAAAAACATGTAATTCAACTTATTCCTCCTTCTCATTTATTCTCCAACAGTCTATCCACCATCATTAAGTGTGTAACATAGCCCCATCTTAGCCAGTCTGCAACATCACCACCGTCATTAATCAATGACGATGCAACCCACCAATTTATACAACCAACACAACACCAATAGCCCTCACTTCCCTACCAACTACTACTCTCCACACTCATGAGCCCGTATCCACCAATTGATCCCCCTATCACCATTGCTGCTACTCGATCCCCACTGCAACTACCACCAAACACAACCCCTTCCGCCCCTAACCTCCCGTATTACACCAACCTTGCAACTTGCATTAATTCACAGCACTACCACTTCTGTTACTCCTCTCATGTCGCCGCAATCGTATCTCCCCCTTCGTGCATCTCCACCACAACAACCTCTACCTTCACAAAACCTAATTCACGCAGCTGCATATCCAACACCAGCCCGCCATTGCTATCCAAACCAAAGCCTAAAATATTTCATCAACCAAAGTAATTTTAAGCCTTGTAATCGTACCACCCGAATCACCATTAATTCCATCATTAGAGAACAATAACTACATCTGCATTAACCCAGATAAATTCTTAAATCCGACCAAATTCAACCCATTCTTAAACACCCTTAAGTGTGAGCAATTGTTGATGCAAGCTTTTGTAAGGTCATGGGGGGAGGATTCAGCGGAGATTTTGAAGGGGGGAAATTAGGGTTGGTGGTTAAGGTTGGGTTTTTAAAGGGGTGGGAGCCAATTTCGAAGGGGGAAAGGGAGTCGGAAGCCATGGGTGAAGGGAGGAGAGAGAAAACTGGGAAGGGGGTGTTAGGGAAGAAGGGGAGAGAGTGGAAGCCATGAAAAAATAAAGCTTAATTTTATTTTTTTCTTGTCAATTTTTTTTTATATAAAGAAAAGTATTATTTTTAATTAATTTTGATTTATAATTAAAGCTGATTTTAAAAATAATGCTGTCAAAAAAAAAGGACAAATAACAAGTAATTAAAAGATTTTTTTTTAATATATTCTGAAGAAAAAAAAAAGGAAAAGTAAAAAAATATGAGTCATGGTCCCTAAACTATTGATTACTTAATATCCATAAACTATTTTGTTGACTCATAGTCCCTAAACTAATGCTTAGTCAGCATAATCCCTAAACTTTTGGCTTGAAAACACAAAAAGTGGTGGAGGAGGGACCAAAAATGCACAAAAGAGTTTAGAGGGACTAAAAGTGCACAAATATAAGAGATGAGAGACTTATTTTACTTGAACAATATGTGTACTTGACTTGTATCTGGAAAACTTTCCCTTTTTTCGCAGACCATCATTACTCATGGTATAAAAATTTATACCATCCTTCTCTCTCTATCACTTTCTCACTCCTCCACATCATCTATACCACAATACAATATATATACTTCTTCCAAAAATCATCCCACTCATGGTATAAAAAAAGTCTACCACCACACTTTCTCTCTTCTATTTGTATTAATAATACACCTAATTTAATTATAATTATATTTCATTTTATTATTGGAAATAACTAATTAATGTTTGTAAAGTTAATTGAATAAAATAAGCAAATTAGGTAGTAAAAAGTGAATTCGAAAAAGTATATAAAACTATATCAATATGAGTGTTTATGTGTACGTCTTGAAAAATTATGAACAATGGTAATTTTTTTCATAATTTTTTACTGTATAATTTTTTTCTTAAAATGCAATTGAAAAAAAAAAGATATATAATAATCAGGCCATATGACGTGACCTGTTTGATTCATGTTTCATGGGAACCAAAACAAATGTTTACTATGGGATCATCAAATGGTATAGTTTTATACTACCAATGTAGTAAAAAATTGTAGATTTTTAATGAATTTTTACACCGTGGTATAAAATTATGCTATAGTGTTGATGCTCTCAGGAATATTAATAAGAATTTTCAAGCACATATCTGTCACACATGCAAAAGCACGTATATTTCTTCTTCTTTTTTTTTTTTTTTTTGTACAAAAAGTATATTACTTCTTTTTCTTTTTTTTCTTCTTATTTATTTATTTATTTATTTTATTAATTTTAAATAATGTGTATGTGGTGTAATTGTTGTAATAACATGTTTTAAAAAGTAGTTGACAACATAACAAGGATAACCACATGCTCCCTCCATCTTAAAATTAAGTGCATGTTTTTCATTTTTACGGATTTTAAATAAAATAGATAATGTAATATTGGGTGCTACAGATAAATTAATTAGATACCTTAAAAACAATGATTGGTGATTCCTTAAAAGCCAATAGTAAAGGAGTGAAATGAGTTGGTGGGAATTAAATGTCCAAATTGTCAAGTACAGCTTTATAAAGTGAGTGAGTGGGTGTGAGAATTATTAACAAGTGGATGAAATCTTGTAAGAAATTGTGTTAATATTGGAAGTGAGGTTAAAAGTGTCTGGAACAGCAAAGCTATTTTTTAGAAATACTCCGTAGTCGCTTAAATTTAAAACACTAGGAAAGGAAAACAAATACTTCGTATTTAATTTTAGGGCGGAGGGAGTAAGGCCCGTTCACTCCACCTTAAAAAATAATATTTAATAAAAATAATTTTAATTCAATAAAATATGTTTAGTTTATTAAAAATAATTTCAATCCAGTAAAAATTAGTTATTTTAAAGAAGAAATATAATAGAGAATCAGTATAAATAATTTCAGTTCTGCAAATATAATTTCAATTCGATAAAATAAATTTTAGTTAGTAAAAATAATTTACGTTCAGAAAAAATAGTTTAGTTTAATAAAAATAATTTTAATTCAGCAAAAATAAGGTAAAGTGAACAGAGCCTAATAAGTAAATATATATGGAGTATATACAACTTTCTAAAATACAAACTATTGTGTGGCCCAGGCTCGGGCAATGCCCCGTTTTGCTAGTTTGTATTTCTTTTGATAATTATGTCCAACTGTTTGTATAATTATGTGTGGCTTGTGCATTGTCTTGGGTATTAATGTTTAATTTGTATCTCTTATATATTTATATTCTAAGCTTGTGAAAAATAAATGAATTATATAGCCTCTAATTTACTTAATAAATGAAAAGACTATATAATTAATTATGTAAAATTTTAAACACTAATCAAAGTTGGTTGAGATGGTAAATGGATGACCTTTATGTGTTGGAGGTTACGTGTTCGAATTTAGATCAAATCATAATTTATTTTATTCAATAAAATATCGAATTTATGTGGCGCATATACTTTGGATAGAGTAGAAGGTAGAACCTTACCTTAGTGATGTAGGTAAGTGATAGAAATATACAACTACCAAAAAGGTAAAGTCCACCAAGGGCCCAATTGGGTTGAGTTTCGTTTGCATTAAGAAGAGAGAATTGGGTTGGAGAAGAAGAAAATATATAAATGGGCATTCCTTGGTACAAAGTCACTATGAACGCACCACCAATTGACACTAACGTTCCCAAAGATTTGAGTAGGCTACTTTGAGCTCTCATGTTCAATACTTCCATCCTAAAAGGGTCATTTTCAAAATTAATTTAATAAATCAATTGACTAAAAAAAATATGTATTATTGTGCTATGAAAGTTTAATTATTCATATAACAAATATTACCTGAAAATTATTCCCATTATAAAAGTGAAAGCAGGAGATAGATTATTCATTGCTGATGCAAGAGTTGGTGAGCTATAACGTATTCCAATAAACAAGAACATGGAGCAACCACAACTGCATCACAAATTGGTAAAACAAATTAAGTAAAATAATAAATAAATGAATAAGTGAGTCTATTTATGAAATTTTTGTTTTTTTCTAGCAATGGTTTTTTTGAAAGAAAACACATTTTAATAATAGTATATGAAATTTTTGTTTTTTTTTTTCAAGCAATCGTTTAGGCAAAGTATATGAATGATGAAAAAAAATCACACACATTCTAAGTAGTTGAATAATTGCAAATGAAATGATCAATCAATAACTATACATTAAAGGCGAATAAAAAATAACATGTGGTAAAATCTGATTAAATAATTTTTCGCCAATTTTTTATTTACTTTTTTGCCAAATTATCTTAGGAAATTTTTAATTCACTACTTGTATAATATTTTCCTACCTACCAATATATATATAAAACAAATCTTCCATATATTTTATATAAGATAAATAGGTAATCTTTCTCTCCCAAATTCAATAAACAATTTTATAACAACTTATAGAAAAATTAAGCAAAATATTATTATTAAAAATAGATATATATATATATATATAGGCATATACAACTTAAAGTTTATCAGAAGCTTTTTGTTAAAGAATATTGACCTTTGTCATACTACTTGTAAAGAGAAAAAAATTTATAAAAATTGTTGAAACACAAACTTTTATAAAATTTGGTAAATCCGTGCAATGCACGGGACCATAAGCTAGTAAACTAAATAAAATAAGGAAAGTTTTTTTTTTTTTTTTTTTTTTTTTTTTTAATTTAACAAAAATATTTTATCAAATCGTCTATTACCTTAAACAAATTTCCAATAATGTTTTTGTTGATAAGAATTAATTTTTTTTTTTTTTTTATTTTTTTTTTATTATTTTTTTTTTAACTACGAGTACACAAATAGAAGTAACTAGTGTTTTAGAAAGGTTGTTACGATTGTGAATTTGTGACTTCTTCGGTGTTGTGAAAGCAAAATGATACCCAACTTTGACACCTTGATGGTAACTTTATTTGACTATTTGAGGGTTTGAGCTAATAAGGAGTAAGATACTTTGTACTTCATTTACCAAAATAAGTAAATTGGAACTTTCGTTTGAATATTTCAAAGTAAGGAAGGATCCATTGAAAGGGATGTTTTAATTTGGACAATTTCATCAATAACTTTAGTGAACTTGTGTCAATTAATTTCATGATTACTATTTTGAAATGTTTTAATTTAGTGGCATTTTATTAATTATATTATTTCACATGAGATCATTTTATAATTACTTATTGTAAAGTTGAACTTTTTGTTTTTAAGGTAACTTTTCTAATAAACCTTGTAACGTCTCACAAGTCACAAGTAAACTATTGATGTAGTCCATGTAGAATAATGTGATCCAAACCTCTCCATTTATTCACATGCACAATATAAAACAAAGCTATCATAAAACAAGGCTATTTAATCCCTTAAAAAACATAAAATAAAATCTATAACTAAGCACAAGATTAAAAACTATCAAAAAAAAAAAAAAAACATATGATTTTAACACGCATAAATAAGAACAAATAGCTAAGAGAGGGTGAGATGAGAAAGATACCAAAGGACTCCGAGTAGGAAGAGTCGGAAGATCATAGCAACACCGATGTGTGGAGATGGAGTTTTCCTGTCCAAATTAATCCCATTTATGAGCATAAAGTTTCATACACAATAAGTAAATAAGCAAAACTCCGATCCCTTCATTTGGGTGTCATAGACACAGCTTACAGGTCGATACTATTATTAAAATTAACTACATACGTGACAACTAAATTTGGCATTGAGGACATGTCACATATGATATAGTAACTTATTCAACAATAATAATAAAGATTGGAGGAATTGGTTACCTGTGGAAAAGGAAGGCAAGGGGAATAAGGAAGAAGAAAGCTATGCCATGAGTATAAGTAGTGAAGATAAAGCTGCTCATTCCTTTAGCCATTGCTGCTTTACCCAATGTATTGCAACCCACATCCATTAATTCCATAGTTAACAGAATTATTACCATCTTTATTTCCCACATTTTTCTTCTTTTTCTTCTTCTTCTTCTTCTTCTTCTTCTTCTTCTTCTTCTTCTTCTTCTTCTTCTTCTTCTTCTTCTTCTTCTTCTTCTTCTTCTTCTTCTTCTTCTTCTTTCTTCTTCTTCTTCTTCTTCTTCTTCTTCTTCTTCTTCTTCTTCTTCTTCTTCTTCTTCTCCTTTCTTTGTGAAAGAAACCACAAGAGTGAAGAGATTTTATATATATTAATGAGGAACGTGCCACAAAGTCTTTGGATTTGGAGTGAATAGTCCTCTTTAAGGCTGGCTTTGGAATTAGTCTTGGCTATTCCTTATTCCTCAAAGATACTATGTATATGTCAATGTAAAAAATTGTTTGGAATGAAAAGTTTTTTCTGTTTTGACCTTTTTATTAAGAGACCCAATTACCATACCAAAATACTACATATAATAAAGTTTTATACGTGAATTGAAAGAATGGTTGTTGTAAAAGTTTTTCTTTTATTCATTGCCACACATGAACGATAACTAATTAATTAATTCATTTGCTAATGTTGTATAATATAATCTACCGTCAACATCAATTATATATAATTACATCAACATCAAATAATAAATATAATCAAATACATATATCATAATAAAATCATTCTCAATAATATCAAGATACTCCCCCTATTTTAAATGCATTAGTTTGATTTTTGCACTATTCATATGCCATGCTTGATTTAATTTTTTTTTTTTTTTTTTTTGTTATAAAATAAACAAATGTTATTATATATTACTTCATTCGCATGTAATTAGATTTGTCACAATATCTAATTTCATAATATAATTTTGTTATAATTTTCAATAATAGACAATTAAAGATATTAATAGTCAAAGTTACGTTTTGGCAAATGAGGCGGTCAAACTAGTGCATTAAAAAAAATAAAAAAAAAAAAAAAAATAGAGAGAGAGAGAAAAGGTTGGTTATGTTTTGACTGAATGAGTGCGTCAATGCATATCTAGAAATCTTTAAGTTTAACTATCATTAAATAAAGGGTTTACCCGGTTAGTGTTATAAGAGTTACTTCGTCACTGTTATAAGGGTTACTCAATCAGTATTACGTGTAGGGTTTATTTGGCCGTTATTATATGAATTACTTTGTTAATTATTTTACAAGCGTTCACATGGTGTGGACAGTACTACACACAAAAAGCGCTGAAACACTTGAAAGAAACTGAATGAGTCCCCCCCCCCCATCCTTTGTTTGTCTATATCATTCACCCTTTTTGATGAGGGTGGCCAATAGTTTGGTAAAATGGTTATTACTTTCTCCATTCATAATTTAAGTTTCCGTATATCCTGAAATCTATCCTTTCCCTACTTGAATTTATTCATCTCTTAGTTCAATGGGGTTTTTGTAAAATTGAACACTACTTTATTCAATGCTTTATCTATATTAATTTGATGGACATTTTGCAACCCACTATAAGATGAATTAAACATAGGCTTAATTCTTTATAAACTAAAATAAAAAATAAAAACAAAGAGCATATATAGGCTTTAGAGCGACGAAGATGATAAAAAAGTTCCAATCTTTCTGAATACCACTCCTAATTAATTAAACTTTATCAAGCTAGACAATTTCCATAATATTAGACCAATCCGAATTGTGTTATGTTACATTGTTACCTTAATGATTTATTCGATCTTCAAATCAAACTCATGAAATCATATACATTAGATCATCACTTACAATATGTATAAATAATTGGATTATAATATTGAACAAAAGATTAGATGAAATTGTATGCAGAAATTTAAAATCATGCATCCATGCTTTTGTCATATAGCATAGGGATTTTAAGAGGATGCGACTCTTCTACATCATCTATGATATAAGCCAATCTATTTTCATCATCTTTATTAAGCATCTCTTCTTCAGCATTCCCTTTCATCACTGTGTAGAATCCAAATGCTATGATCAACCCTCCGATTACACTGCACAAAACGATTTATTTTATATTCATGTATTTTAAAATTTAATACGAAGTAAATTAATTTTTGTTTAACATGGATCATGTGTTAGCTAGGTAAAATTGACTTGGGAATTTTTTATTTATATTTTAATTATTTATAACTTAGGTTATTACGATGTATGATATTTAAAGTCTGGTCGATTGAAATATGTTTTAGTTGGTTAAAGATTATTTTTACTGATTCATTATACTTGTATTAGTGTTTCAAATTAGTGAAGGAGATTATTAATTATATTTTTACTAACTGAAATATGTTTTAGTTGGTTGAAATTTATTTTTACTGATGATACATTACGGAGTATATTAGTGTTTCAAGCTAATGAACGAGATTGTTAAGCCAAGAATATTAATCCAAGGATAAAGAAGTACCTCCCAAGATGTAGAACATCCCCAAGGAGAGAAACTCCCATAATAACTGCAATAATCATTTGAAGTGGCTTAAACATTGCCACAAACACTGGCCCCTTCACTCTACATGCCCATGTATCGACAATATTTACTAAACTAGCTGCTACAGCCTGCTCATGTTTAGATAATAGTATAATACACCAAAAATGTTAATTTTTGTGAGGAAAATGAACATAACCAATGGTTGATTGCACACAATTTAAAACAATAGGTGAAAGCAAGTGTACATACTTTTGTGTCCATTTAGGCACATAGGGCCTATGTATTTGGCATGCACATAGGAAGACAATCTGGGGTTCGGTGGTACATTTTCTTTCTTGTTTAAGTACAATGGTACATTTTTATGTACTACTATACATGTAGAATGTACCATTAAATATAAGTTGTTTGAATAGTATTTTTTATGTACTATTATGCATTTAGTGTTACTTTTTGCCATTATATTGTTCACCTTCAGGTTCCCATTATTTACAAAAATGTCATCTGCATCCTTAATGCATAGGGCCTATGCGCCAAGAGATTTGCGATGAGAAGTGGTTTAGGCCCTGTTCTATTCACCTTAAAAAAATAATATTAAGTAAAAATAATTTCAGTTCAGTAAAAATAAGTTCAGTTCAGTAAAATTAATTTCAGTTCAGTAAAAATAATTTCAGTTCAGTAAAAATAAGTTCAGTTCAGCGAAATTCAGCTTTATTAAAGAAGAATTATAATAGAAAATCAGTAAAAATAATTTCAGTTCAGCAAAAATAATTTCAGTTCAGTAAAATTAATTTAAATTCAGTAAAAATAATTTAAGTTCAGCAAAAATAATTTCAGTTCAGTAAAAATAATTTCAGTTCGGCAAAATTAAGGTGAAGAGAACGAGGCCTTAGTATTAAAAAAAAGAAGGATAAAGAATAAAGAGTAAGGTCCTGTTCTTTTCACCTTAAAAAAATAATATTAAATAAAAATAATTTCAGTTCAGTAAAAATAAGTCCAGTTCAGTAAAATTAATTTCATTTCAGTAAAAATAAGTTCAGTTCAGTAAAAATAAGTTCAGTTAGTAAAATTCAGTTCTCTTAAAGAAGAATTATAATAGAAAATCAGTAAAAATAATTTTAGTTCAGTAAAATTAAGTTCAATTCAGTAAAAATAAGTTCAGTTCGGTAAAAATAATTTCAGTTCAGCAAAATTAAGGTGAATCAAACAGGGCCTAAGTGAAAAATTAAGAAATAAGATGGCAAAGTGTGTTTGTAAGGGAATAAAGTATATGCGTTAAGAACTTTGAAAGGATTCTTAACAAAAAACAGATGCTTTAAAATTCTCAAATTAAAGAAAAAAAAATACGACCCTTAAAGTATGAAAATTTACCCCAAATAAAATTGATATCCATTGGATACCTATGGTTGGTTTCCAAACACTTGCATCATTTTCAGCAATTGAAGTTGCAATTGTTGCCACTATTGTCTCAAAGAAGAAAGTAATTAGTATTATCAGCACTTCTGAAGGGAAGTCCCTCGCAATCCAAGTCTGAAGAACATGAAAGTAATCATAGTTAGGAATTTATTGCAGGTAATACTTAGTATTTATGTCGCATTTACGGAGAAAAAGATAAAACTTTAAAATGTACTACACATGATTTTGTTATAAATTTTCAACTTATTGGAGAATTTTTGTAAAATTGTAATAAAATAATGCAATTTTAAAAATATTACCTTTGTAACATATGCGAGTGAGATGACTATGCTGCTCATAGAAAGAAAGATGCCCCCAACAATCCAGTTTGGTTGTGCTTGATGATGTTCAACAAGAATATGGAAAGATGCCTTGATTGGTGAAGAGAATAAAATGATAGGGAGTCCTTGGTACAAGATCACTACCAATGTCCCACTAATTGATACTATGGTTCCTACCAACTTTAGTATGCTACTTTGTGTACTTAAGTTCAAAATTTCCATCCTATATTCCACAATTCATTTCATAATTTCAATTACTAGCTAAAACTTAATGCTAGAAACATCTTATGGTACAAGTAGAAGGTCAATTGAGCATGATAAATTCTTTTCAATGGTCAAACATACATAGTCAAATACTACCTTCGGTCCAAATTACTCGCAACTTTGGGGTATTATTTGTGAGATATAAAATATTCTAAAATTGCGAGTAATTTGAACCGGTAAAAACTTTTGTATACATCCGGTTTACACTAATATTAGTGTATATCGAGCAGTATAAGGGTAACTTTAAGCCAATTTAGGGTAACTTTTTGCCTTTTTTTGGGTAACTTTGAACATAGTATGATTTTTTTTATAAATCGAACAAGAAAAGTTTTATAAGGGTAATAAAATTACTTTCAATCACTAATAATTGAATTTTAGTCAGCCCATAGATTCTAATAATTTGAACAAACACATGCACAAGAGTCTACTCTATTCGCCACTATGATCAGCTCTACACCAAAGCTACTAGTCCATCTAGTATCAATATTCAAAGTTACAAAGTATATATGGATTAGTCTCATTTTTTGCTTTTTTAATTGTAGAAAGATTAAAAAAAGATAGTGATTATAGAAAATTTAATGTCGAGTAATTAAATAAACTGAACTATATATACAGATTATTAAGGAGGTTTGTTGACACGCCACGGGCAAATTGTATTTGAATTTTCATCTACTACTCAGTATGATTATTACGGAGTACGGGAGTAGTAGTATATATATAAGATCGACCCAAACCTGAGACGGTATGATTTTTCTTTTCACTTATGAAATATCACCCATTTAAACCTCAGTTAAACTACCACTACATGTGGACCTACACAAGCGTGCCCATGTCCAAGCCCAACTTTATTCATTTCCCCTCTTCTTTCTCTAGATGACTTCCTCCACATAAAGAGATAAAAGGGATAGTGCTGAACATGACAAACGGATTGAAAAGTTTTATTACAACTAATTAAATAATAAAACTTGTTAAACTTTATAAGAAAATTAAAATTTAATTGTTCAACATACCAAGACTTTGAGCAACTATGATCAGAACAATCATAAAAATCTTTAAACAAATAAACAATTTGGATACTCGTTAAATGTTAAAACAATATATATGTATAAAATCTTGGACCAAAAAACGATCAAATATTAATATCAAACAAAAACAAGTGCAAATATCTTGAGGAAAATAGAAATCAATAATGATTAATGAAAAGCTTACTTGAGAATTCCGAGCAGAAAAATTCGCAATATTATAGAGCATCTAATAGTTGGGGGGTGGAGTTTTTCTGTTAGAATCCATTGAACAACAATATAAGCAAATATCAAATCTTGTAAAAGTGATCCCAATTAATTGTCATAATTGGTGAGATGGTATCCCGACTTATTAATATAACATGACAACTAAATTCAGACAGAATTATAGTATCTATATAAGCCGATAATCATACCTATGGTAAAGGAAAGCGACGGGTATAAGAAAGAGTAGAGAGATGGCATGAGTGTAAGTTGTGTAAACGTAATTGCTCATTCCTTCTGCCATAGCTGCTTTGCTCAGGGATCGTTCGGTTGAATGTAGGAATTGCAAATTCCTTAGAAAATTGATTTCCCATGAAATTGAACTTTCTAGGAAATTCTAAAAAGTGTTTGGTTAACTAAGGGAAGTGGAAATTCCCATGGGAAGTTCCACTTACCTAGGTCCCCCTAGGTAATTAACTTCCCCCATTTTGTGGGAAGTGGAAATTCATGGGAATTTCTATTTCCCATGAATTTGTCAACCAAACAACTTCAAAGAATTTCAATTCCTAGGATTTCCAACTTCCCATATTTTTATTTGTCAACCAAACAACCCCTCAGTGTAAGGCTACCAACATCTATTACTTCCATTACCAATAGTATTATTATCAATAATTTAACTTCCAACATCTTTAATTTCTGTGTTATTTTCTTTCTCTCTTAGCTTCTAGCTTTTTTCTAAGATTAATCTTCTCTACTCATGAACTAAAAAATGATTAAGTACAAAAAAAGTCAAATTAATAATTTTTTTTGTCAAATTAATTATTATTAAAAAAAAAAAAAAGGAAGTCGCAATGTAATTATAAATTATACAATTAATCACACAACACTCCTAACAAATAAAGAAAACAAAAAATATCTTGCTTTAGGATTGTATATTTCCCACATATTTGGATCTTATGGCAGTAATATATCTACTTTTTGTATTAATTGGTCCACTAAGATGCTTAGCCATTAAAAAACGACTTGGCCTGACCACTAGGAGTTTATGAATTTATGTTAGAAATCACGCACACTAATAATTATTACCATTTTTAAAATACTATCTCCACTTTTATTTAATTGACACATTTCTATCATCACACTTACTAATGTACTATATTAACAACTCATATTTTTAATTCTCGACATTGTAAAAAAAAAGTGAATATTAATATAATATATACGCTGAGACGATTCAAACAAGATCTCACTTGAATGTGTTTTATTATAGCTATAGATCACAAAACTAGTTAAAGTATTGTTATAAATAGTATAAAAGTCAAACGGTCCCAATTTTAATAAAAAAACAACAAAAGTGATTTTTATGATATGTACAAAAGTGAAACACACCGTTATGCATTTAGAGTAGGAATATTCGTTTTTATACCGTTTAAGAAAAGAAAAGAAAAAGGTGAGGTATGTGAACAACAGAATAATGCAAATTAAAATTAAGAATAAATCAATTAAAATGGTGTCACTACTCACTAGCTTAATCTGGTTCAATTCAAGAGGTTGGTCAAGCTCGCTAGAATAGGCCCTCAAAGGAGCCCAACATAGAAGGTAGGTTAACCGGTTTTTGTTTTGCTAAATACTCCATATATGTTTAAATTCAACTACTTTATTCATTAACTATTAATTGTAACAAAAAAATATTTTATATTACACAAATAATATATCTTTGTTGCAATTAATAGTTAATGGAGGGATCGGAGTTTATAATGCTTAATCATGGCCAATCAGCCTAGCTAGCAGTCAAGGCCAAGTCAAATTAGCTTGTGCGTCATGATGGTTTTTCGATGTTGGTTTGAACCATGAGTATGACCACCTTGATCTAATCATAACGTAATAAAATCTAAAGAAACACTCTAATGGGTAGGAGACGATTTTGAAATCAAAGTATAATATGAGTACTGGTATAACAAATACTAACTCTGTTTAATATTAGTTGCAACTTTAGGGTATTGTTTGTGAGATATAAAATATTTCAAAGTTACAACTAATATTTAACGGAGGTAGTATTAACAATACACCTGAATTGAATTCATTAATAACCCAGGCCTAACCTTAAACAATAGAGCAAGTCTATGTCAGCACAACTGATAACTTGGGTACCACTACAACTTTTTCTCTTTGATTTGTTTCTAATAATACAAGTCTTTTTATAAGTACTCCATAATAAAAAGAGTAACTCATTATTCAAATCGAATTCATGTTATATACAATTAGATGTGTTATGTGTACATATACTTTGTATGCATTGGAAAATATATAATTAGTAGATTTAACCAAATATCAGAAATTGCTGGAAAAACTGTTAAACATGCATGTTTTTGTCATCCAACATTGGAATTTTTAGAGGATGTGGCTCTTCTTCTATGATATACGTTAACCTGTTTTCATCATCTTTTTTAAGCATCTCTTCTTCGGCTTTTCCTTTTACCACCGTATAGAATCCAGCTGCTATGACCAATCCTCCAATTACACTGCACAACATGAATTACATAATTTAATTTCATTTTATCAAGCTATTTAAATGAAAATTTGAACTAGGTTACAGTCTTGTGAGAAGACGTTCTAGTTTTGCAAGGATTACATAATTTAATTTCATTTTATCAAGATATTTAATTTCATTTTTCTTTTCGATAAATTAGGTTACAGTTTTGCGAGAAGACGTTCCTAATTTTCTTGTTTCTTACTTAAAAAAAAATAAAAAATTGCAACTAGACCTATCAATCACCTAGGCCAAAGTTTTGTTTGGGGGCATATATGGATTTTGGCCATTTAGTTTGTACAAAGACGGATACATATGATATTAATAAAGATATAATTTATGTTGGGTTTATTAGGTGGGAGAAATTAATTAAATATTGTAAAAGCTTTTCAAATAAAGAAATGAATCGGCGCAAGTATTTAAAAACGACCGCAAATGAAAAATAGAGTAAATATTTAAAAACAAAGGGAGTAATACGCTAGTTTTAATAAAAGAGGATGCGGATATTGCTAAGTAAATAAGTGTATTATTTAATATTTTCTTTTTTCTAAACAGCATATAAAAATTATACTTTCTTAAAAAACCGATGTGACAAAATTTTCAATATTATTTGACAAATGTTACTTTACTAGTACGGGTGTGTACCGTGTGTCCAGTACTATTAAAATGCCCATTCTTCATGACTGGTCATCATAGGATAGATTTCGGGTTTCAAATTGAATCAACAATTTGTTGGCCAGGTAAATATTTAAATTAGTATGATCTAAGGGTATGTTCTCTTCAGCTTAATTTCAGTTCAATTCAATTCAGTTCAGCTCCACTGAGTTCACTTCAATTCAGTTCTTAATTTCCTTCTCTCATAAAATATTCAGTTCAGTTCAGCTCCAACTGTTCTGTTCAGTTCAGTTCATTTCATTCAGTTCATTAAATCAGAACATGCCCTAAGATCTAATATTACTGGGTAATAACTAAGTTACAAAAATATAAACGGTACCTCCCAAGATGTAGCACATCTCCAAGAAAAAATGCTCCCACAATACCGCTATAATCATTTGAAGTGGCTTAAACATTGCTATAAATACTGGTCCCTTCATTTTGCAAATCCATGTGTCGATAATATTTAACGTACCAATTGATATAGCCTGGTCAAATTTTAGATAATACACCAAAACCAAATTGATGAATATCAATTTTGTGAATTAATTAGTATAATAAACATACATTTTAGTAAAAACCATAAAAGTATATTATATTAAGAATTACCCCAAAAAGAATAGAAGTTAATTCGATACCAAAGGTTGGTTTCCAAACACTAGCATCATTTTCTGCAATAAAAGTAACAAACAATACCATTATTGTTTCAAAGAAAAATGTAACAAGTATTATTAGCACCGTAGAAAGGTAGTCCCTTGCAATCCAAGTCTGAAGAAAAGAAAAAAGCAATCATTAGTCAAACAAGGATAAATGTAGTCTTTAATTAGACTCTTGTCTATGGAGAAAAAAACATAAAGCAAGAGAAGAAAAAAGGCGTTAAAATACTGAATAATACATGATTTTGTTATAAGTTTCCAAAAAAAAAAAATTGTTATACTACGTAGTATATATATAAGGTTTCGGAAAATTCATTACCTTTGTAATATACGCGAGTGAAAGGACTACGCAGCTCATTGAGAGAAAGGTCCCTCCAAGGACCCAATTTGGTTGAGTTTGATCAAGTTCCACAAGAGAGTGGAGAGATGGCTTGGTTGGTGAAGGGAATATATTACTAATTGGTAGTCCTTGGTAGAAGATCAATATGAATGCTCCACTAATTGATACTATGGTTCCTATCAATTTTAGTATGCTACTTTGTGAACGTAGGTTCAATATCTCCATCCTACATTATTCCACAATTTATTTCATTTTTAGTAATGACTAAAGATGAATACTAATATAATAATATTATATCATAGTAAATTAAATAATAATATATAATGTTATAAAATATTTAGTTACCTGAAAATGATGGCTACAATAAAGGTGAAGGCAAGGGAAAGATTACTTATTGCTGATGCAAGTGTTGGTGATCTATAATGTAATCCAACATATATACTTAATAAATTTAGAGTGTCCCTTGATGTCATCACATTTTTCAGTATATGTTTTAAAAAATTACTCGTATCTTCAATTATGTATTTTCAAAAGTTATGAAAATTATTACAAATTATAGTTTTTGAAACTACAAATAAAGATAAAAAATTATAATAAAATCTCATATAAATATGTTTTACTTATATATTGATGAATAATCATATATGATATGAATTTTGATGGATATAACCTTCAATCGCAGTTGAAAGGTTTGGAATCTTGAGTCTCGGTCAAGAAACGCTAAGCAACACGAGCTTAAAACCTAAACTAGGCCAAGAATACACAAGCACAAGCTTACGTAAAACTTTATAAATTTCAAATCAATCAATCATGCTTTTCGTTAAACACCATCACGTATTTATAAGCTAAATAATTAGCCTAAAAATCGGTAAAACAAATTCTAATCTAACTAGGAAACTAACTCTAACTTGTAAAGATAATATTTTGCAAATATGATCTTTAAAGTTAAGCTTATCTTATACTAACCGAATTAAACTAACAAAAATATCCTAATAAATTCGGTCATCTAATAATAAACTAAAAATAACAATAAAAATAATTATAATAACAATATTGATGCCTTGGAACCGCATCAATATATGATTAGACCTTCCTTCTCCTCATGAATGTAGTATTGCAAATGAGATCAATATAACAAAATCAAATTCTTGATTAAGTGGGCAACTTTATTTAACTTATTGTAAGAAGAGTTAAAGTTACCCTACAAATATTTAAAGTTACTTTTATACACTACAAAAGTTGTCTTTTTACTAACATAAATATTTTATCTTTAAAAATGTATATATTAGATTAGTCTTAGCCTTCATATAGCATATAATACTATACATTAAAATACAATCAAGCTCCTTACAAATGAAAAGTTAGCTTTTAAGGAATTAAAATTATCATAAAAATTGTTAAAGTTACCTTCAAATTAAATTGACGTTCTTATAATAAAATTAACGTAAGTTTGCATTATACAAGACTTATTGCACGTGTAATTAGCTTAGTTAATAATGTTTAGTTATACAGTTTTTCATTTGGCAAAATTACACTCATTGACACCAACTTAAGAGTATGTTGCAAATATTGACATGAACCTGTCACTTGTTAAATTGACACCAACTTGTCCAAAAATTCAGAGATTCCGACTCGCGATTCTTCTATTATTATTCCACGTTTTGCATTAGAGATGACAATGGATCGTATTCGGATCGGGTGGAGCTTCACCCGCATCCATCCATCATTCAAATCGCTACATCTACATCCCATCCATCACCTGATTCACTCATCATCCATATCCGTCCATCCATCATCCACGGATGAAACGGATGGATCAGGTGACTAATGGATGAACATTTATGATTTAAAAAAAATCACATAATTTATGGTTATTTCTACCACAAGTTATTACTCCCTCCGTTTCAATTTATTAGTCTCATATACTATTTTGGGCGTTTCAAAAAGATCTACCCATATTGAATGTATTCTCCTTTTAACTTAGTTTTTATTTTCTATTTTATACATATTAAATTATAATTGGTTAAATTAATGATTGTGCATTGATGACATGAGTATAAGTAAAGAAATTATTCCCTTGAATTATGCAATTATACTTGACGGTTTCCTAAAAAAAACAAAAAAGTTTAAATAGGGCAAAACTATTTATGAATTGTTTTTTACTTTAATGTTGGATTCCAAATATTCTTCTTCTCTTATTTTATGTGATAGATTCCATATGGGACTATCATATTAAAACGGAGGGAGTATTATTTTTTTAATTAAAAGGAAGCACTAACAAAAATTTTTTTGTAAGAATTAATATGCAATAAATATTAATTTCCAACAAATAAAGCATATTTATTGCAGATTTCAATCACAAAGATTAAATTGTATTTTCTCAATGACAAAAGTTAATACGTAGTAGTATAATTAGAGTATATGTGAAGTTAGGGCCTGTTCTAATAGGCTAAAATCAGCTGAACTGAACTGAACTAAACTGAAAATAAACGTATGAGAACAAGCCCTTACTGTCGTTTAGTTTAATTCAATTTTTATATTAAGGAGGTACCCCCTTAACCTTATAAAGTAGGCACAACTTTCTTATTACTTCAATGTGGGATACACTTTTTAACACTTTTACTCTTTATTTTAAGAGAAAATATAAGCTTCTCTCTGTGATTGTTTATCACATGATTTTCGAAAATAATTCAATAACTTTTTCATGAATTTGGGCTCCATAGTTAATGATGATTGGATAAATTTTGTTGTAAACTTTGTAAACTAAAATTGTTTATCACTAAGCAGGGCAAGCTTCTCTTTTAATGTGGGATAAAAAAAACTTTCACTGACATGTGGGTTTCCTAATAATGGGCTTAACATACTACTTTTATAGTTTAGGTAGTTTCAATTCCTTACAAAGGTGGTACCTCCTTGGTCTTATAAAATGGAAACTCATTATAGTTGTGACCTAGGCCCATTTATCATAGTAATTTACGTTACATTGAGTAGTTTACTAAATACAAAGTACACTACATACAAGTAATAATTAAGTCAAAAACTTTTGTATACATCCGGTTTACACTAATATTAGTGTACATCGAGCAGTATAAGGGTAACTTTTAATTACATTCAATCACTAATAATTGATTTTTAGTCATTTAAAATGTGATTCTTTACTAATAAAGCGTTGATAATTTTTATTTGAATTGGGTTACTTAAACGCATATTGGGGTAACTTTTATTCATTTCAGGGGTAACTTTTAATCACTTTAGGTTATCTTTATAATAAATGTACAATAATTATTATACACCCGATTTTTTAAAAAGTTTGTGTGATTAAGTTTACTTCCGTTATCATGATAATTTACGTAACATGGAGTAGTTTACTAAATACGAAGTACACTAGTAAAGTAGTAATAACTTAGTTTACTTCCAACAACATGTAGTCCAAAAAAGGAAAGAAAAAAAAGTTTACTTCCAACAACGATCCCTCCCCTAAATTAAATAAATAGTGTGTCATTGCTTCATAATAAAAGCAAAACTAATTGAATGGTTACCTCATTAACCAAAAAAAAAGGCCAATTAAGAATAATTATTAAAGTAATAATTAAATTTTATAATAATGTAATAAATAATCGATCATAGTAAAATTCAACATGAAACAAGATGTAAGGAACTTTTCAAAAAAAAAAATGCAAGGAAAAAGTTCATAAAATAATCATACTTGAGGATGGCAAGCAGGAATATCCGCAAAATCGTAGAGCATCCAATGGGTGGAGGCCGTTTTTTTCTGTTCAAATGTATTTAACAACCAAAACAAGCATTATCTTCAAACTTTAAAGTGAATGAAGTTTTTGTACTTCAATCTCACTTCATCTAAAATTAATTGTAATTGATCAAATCAAAATCATTAATTGTGTAATTTACACGATTGATGACGAGACAGATTAAGACAAAGATTAATAAAAAAAAATAATGGAGCAAAAATAATCTTTTGAGAGAGCATAAGAGGTCACTCGAGTCTAATTTGATCATTCGCAACATAATTTTAAAACATGTCGATAACATACATACCTATGGTAAAGGAAAGCAGCCGGAAAAAGAATGAGTAGAGCAATGGCATGAGTGTAAGTGATATAAACGTAATTGCTCATTCCCTTGGCCGTGGCTGCTTTGGTGAGCGTATTGCTACCCACGACCATCACTTCCATTGCCAATATTATTCCCGATAACTTTAATTCCCACATATTTTTTTCCTTTTCTTGATCTTCTCCTCTATCTTTTACTCTTTTTCTCCTATTTTACTTCTAATCTATCTATATGAGTAAATTAAAACATTTGAAAGAAATGCAATGAAATTTAAAATTACACAAGTCTTTTAACAACCACTTGTAAGGAACATTAACAACCCCTTTTACCAATTTAATAATTAGATTGTGGAATAATTTATAGATTAATTTGTCAATAATATATGATATTTTTTATGTAGGTCCCACCAAAAGATTCCACTAATGGAATTAAAGTATTCCATGCCTCCGTGAAGAAATGTTTTTTTTGTTTTTTGCGAAACTACATGCCTGTTCACATTTACTTAATTTCACTTTAATTCAGCTTCAATCAGTTCAATTCAGTTTATTTTAGTTCAGTTCAGTTTCAATCAGTTCAGCTCTTAATTTCCCTCTCTTATAAAATATTCATTTCAACTCTAATCAGTTCAGTTCATTTTAGCTTAGTTCAGTTCAGTAAATGTGAACAGGCCCGACTGCATATCATGAATAATAGGCGTATGGGATATTTTAAAGTTTCCCAACTAAAAAAAAAAGAAGAAGATATTTTTAAAGATAATTTTGTAAGACACTTAATTATTATAGAATCCAAGATTAGGTGATATGTCCCGCCAAAAAAACATAATAACAAATGACTAGGTTAATTGAAATTATTCTTTAAGTTTTTGATCTAATTGGTATGTTATTTGTTTTTGATTAGTTTCATTTAATTTGAATTTATTTCAATAAAAGACCTTGTTCTATTACATGATATTATATTGTTGTATTTTGTGATAATATAATTCAAATTTGTAGGAAGTACAAGAAGAATTATATAGCAAGAATGATCGTTGGTGAAAGATCGATCTCTTAAGTCCATTATTTCGATCATTCACGACCTTACAAACATAAATACTATCTGTTGCTAAAACAAGAGGTGGAGCGAGATTAAGAATGAGTAGAGATTGAGATAGCAAGAGTGTATGCAATGTTTTATACTGCCCAAATATATACAAAACACAACAATATAAAGAAGAGTGTATGAAATATGATCCATATTCAAGTATGCGACTAATTAACAGTGGTTACAACTTTGCTAAGTTAAAAGGAAACTTTTATTTGATTCAATTGTTGCGTACGGGTTAGATTTAATAAATTTCGATATGCAACAACTTTGCTGATAAAATTGAAAATTTAGAAACTCTATAGATCAAACAATCCATCACTTCTCTTTTATATGTCAACATAAACTAAAATTACGGAGTAATAATTAAGTTAATAACCCTTGCCTGGCTAGCCTTAACCATTAGACCAACCAAGCAAGCCAGCCAGCCATCTTAAGCCCTTATTACTATACAATTAGACTCTACATACGATCTGTATGATATATAATCAGTAAATTGAATCAAATGTTATTAAAACTTGTAGCAAAACTTTTATGCATCCATGCTTTTGTCAAGCAACATAGGGATTTTTAGAGTATGCGACTCTTCTTCTTGTATGCTATACGTCAACTTATTTTCAACAACTTTTTTAAGCATATTATCTTCTTCGGCTTTTCCTTTAATCACCATATAAAACCCAATTGCGATAATTAATCCTCCAATTACACTGCACAAAAAGAATAATCTATTTAATTATATTTATCAAACAATTATATCAAAAAATTCACGTAAACATGAGTGGATTAATTAAATTATCTAGCCTTATTAAACATTACACAATCGTGATCCAAATTAAATTTCAGAAACTATCATGTGATAATCTATTGTGATTTTTAGATTACCAAAAAATTAACTACAAGTTAGATTCGTCCTCTATAAATCTAGCTTTCATTATTATACATTTATACCCCCTCTGATCCTGAGTACGTACTCGAAAAAATTGATTGACAAAAGCTGGTCATAAGAATTTGACAAAGTTGAAATACGAAGGGTACGTACCTTCCAAGATGTAGCACATCTCCAAGGAAAAGAGCTCCCATGATAACTGCGATAATCATTTGAAGTGGTTTAAACATTGCTACAAAAACTGGTCCCTTCACTCTGCATGCCCATGTGTCCACAATATTTATCGTACCAACTGACACAGCCTAGTCATATTTTTTATAATTAGCACCCAAAATATAATAATAATAATAATAATAATAATAATAATAATAATAATAATAATACAACAATTGTGCGACTAGCCACACCGTGTAACTGCTTGTAAAAAACGAAGTAATCTCTATAACACCGATAGACTAACTCTTATGATAATGACAGAGTAACTCTTAAATAACAAAGTAAACCTTACAATGCTAATAGATTAATAGAGTAACCACTATAATATTCCTTCAGACACAATCAAATTTTGTAAGCATGCATGCATGTCAATGCACTAATTTGACCTTATTTTTATATGAATATATATATTAATGAAAATTATAATAATAAAAAGGCAAAATATTATATCATGAAACTTTATACCATTACCTATATCTAACAATATATGATAAAAATATGTTGTTATTATGTTAATATAAAACTAAAATCGAAACTCGCTAATATATGAATATAGACTCAATAGAGGAAAAAAAAAAGTTCAACGTGTCCTTTATTCTGAGACAAGGGGAGTACTAACTAAGTTGTCTAAGTAGCACCTATAAGGCTATAATCGTAAACCCTATAACTTTAACAAAGAGTAACCTCTATAACATTAAATGAGTTTTTATTATATTCTTATACTTTAATGCTTATATGAAATCCAATATATTTCAAGGATAAATTTATATTCAAAACATCATCATGCTTGTTTTTATTATATTCGTTTCGGTTTTTAGTTTCTAGATATGCACTTTTTATATTTTGTTTATATTATATACCTAAGATAATTTAATTACTACCTCCGTTACATATTATTTGCAACGATTTGACATAAAATAGAGAGAAAAAATGTCTAATCATTGCAATTAATATGTAACGGAGGCGGTATAATAATTTATTTGCATATCGAACAATTACTTATGAACGGAAAAAAAAAATGAACCCAAAAGAAACAAAGAGTAATGGTGAATTTGATGATGATAATAAACTTGAAAGTGCTAAGAAATAAAGAAAATACCCCTACGAGAATCGAAATGTACTCGATACCATAGGTTGGTTTCCAAACACTTGAATCATTTTCTGCAATTAAAGTAATGACTAATACAATTATAGTCTCAAAGAAAAAAGTAATTAGTGTTATTAGCACTTCTGAAGGATAGTCCCTTGCAAGCCAAGTCTGAGAAAAGAAATAAAGTAATTGTTAGTGGAATAATGACACATGTAGTCCGTGACTCTTTGGAGGAGAAAATTAAAAAAATATATAATAACATGAAAAAAATAACGTCTAATTTTGTTATAAATTTCAATTCAAATAAATATAATTATATAGAGTATTTTAATATTCAACAACTTTTGTGTATGGCTAACCACATCGTGTGGCCAATTAATACATGAGTTATCCCAATATCCCTGACCAGGTAGGTAACCTTTTATCGATTGAGTAAGTTATGACCAAGTAACCCCTTATCTATCGAGTAACCTCTGATCAAGTAACTCCTGACCGAGTGAGTAAACCCTAACTAACCAGTAACTCTTGACTAATCGAGTAACCTCTCACCAAGTAACACCGATCATTCTTTCAAAAACAAAAACAAAAATGTGATTGGTCACACGGTGTGGTTGGCTAACTAACCACATATGAAATTTTGTGTTTAATATTTAAAAGTATCGAAAAAAATAATTACCTTGGTAGCATACGCAAATGAGACGAGTAAGAAGCACATTGAGAGAAA